CCTAGGTTTGGATCTTACATTTAGGCATCCTGCTTGGTAGGTAATTTTCTTCTTAAAGGGTTATTAGGTTTTTATAAGATTTCATCTAGGTTGTCTTTATGGAATTCAATGAAAAATATTTGTAATATTTTCACAATAAAAATTATCAACTCAATTTGAAAGTTGTTGGTTAAATTTTAAACAGTGTGGGCTTGATAAATCACAATTTGTTCTCTCAGTATAATAAAATAATATAAGGCTGATGAATTTTTGAAAATGGAATAAACGGTCAGGATACGGGGTCACGCCTGTAATCCCAGAATTGGGAGGTCGGGAAGCAGCGTTGGATCACCTGAAGGTTCCAGGGAGTTCAGCGCACAGCGTGGTCAAACTCCGTCTCTACTGAAAATAAAAAAGTTGTCTGGGTGTGTGGTGGTTCATGCCTGTAATCCAGCAATATTGCGCGCCTGAGGCAGTGGATCAGACCTGAGGTCAGAAGCTCAAGACCAGCCTGGCCTATACATGGAGAAACCCCCATCTCAAAGTGAAATACAAAAATTAGCTGGGCATGGTGGCTGCGCCTGTAATCCCAGCTACTTGGAGGCTGAGGCATGAGAATCACTTGAACCCAGGAGGCAGAGTTGCAGTGAGCCAAAATCATGCCACAGCACTCCAGCCTGGGCGACATGCCAAACGAGGACTTGTCTCAAAAACAAAAATAAACAGTACTCTTGGGGGCCAGGCGAGGCTGGATCATTCTGAGGCTCAAGGAGTGTTTGAGGATCAGTCTCACCAACATGGGAAGACCCTGTCTCATACTAAAAAATCAAATTAGCCAGCTGTGGTTGGCCCATACCTCTGATCTCCAGCTACCTCGGGAGGCTGAGGGGAGAATCACTTGAACGGTGGGAGGCAGAGGTTGTGGTGAGCCGAGATCACGCCATTGCACTCCAGCCTAGGCCACAAGAGCAAAACTCTGTCTCAAAAACAAAACAAAACAAAAATTAGCTGGGCATGGTGGTGGGCACCTGTAATCCCAGCTACTTGGGAGGCTGAGGCAAGAGAATCGCTTGAACCCAAGAGGTAGAAGTTGCAGTGAGCCAAGATCACACCACTGCACTCCAGCCTGGGTGACAGAGGAAGACTCCATCTCAAAAAAACAAAGGAATAAATTTGTTTTTCTTCTATTAGAGTATAATTACCCTATCTGCACTTTTGTTCATATTTAGATATAATTGATGATCATGTTGAAGATGTTACAGGAATTCAGCATTTGACAAGTGATTCAGACAGTGAAGTTTACTGTGATTCTATGGAACAATTTGGACAAGAAGAGGTAAAAATGACATTTTCTGATTGGTGTATTTTCAAAGTGGTGTCTTAGAATTCAATGCATAACTTCCGTTAGTAGCAAATATACATGCTATTTTTCATTTTGAAAATATACCCCTAAAATGTTTAAACATTTGTATTTTAAACTATTTTTTTCCGAATTGAAAAATACGTAAAATTCTGTAAAAGTCAAAGAAAGAAAAATTAATAATAACTATTCCAATATAACTATTAATGTACATGTATTTATAAATATTCTAGGAGATGTGGGATGGGGATGCAGAGGAAACACTTTTTATGCTAGTCCCTATGTTTGAAACATGTATTAATGTTCAGGAAAATTGAATGATCTTCTTTGTTGTTGTTTTTGTTTTTTAGAGATGGGGTCTCCGTCTGTCGCCTAGGCTGGAGTACAGTGGCGCAATCTTGGGTCACTGCAACCTCTGCCTCCTAGGTTCAAGCAATTCTCCTGCCTCAGCCTCCCAAGTAGCTGGGATTACAGATATGTGCCACCACACCTGGCTAATTTTTATATTTTTATTAGAGACAGAGTTTCACCATGTTGGCCAGGTTGGTCTCAAACTCCTGGCCTCAAGTCATCTGCCCGCCTCTGTCTCTCAAAGTGCTGGGATTACGGACGTGAGCCACTGCGCCCAGCCTAAAAATGGGTGCTTGATATGTTGCCTAGGCTAGTCTCAAACTCTTGGCCTCAATCAGTGCTCCCACCTCGGCCTCCCAAAATGCTGGGATTACAGGTGTGAGCCACCGAGCCTGGCCTGAATAATGTTCAAATAAGTCTGTTCTTCACATTGACTGTAATTCACTGGATTGAAATTTTTAGTGGAAATAATTTTTAAGTTTCAGTTAAGATCCAGTATTGGAAGAGAAAACTTCAAAAAAAAATTATAAAACATCCATGAATTCTTTTTCTCAACTTTTTCTGATAATGATGACAGCGGTATTTTAATTTTTAATTTTTAAATTTTTAATTTTAATGGGCACATAGTAGGTGTATATATTTATGTGTTAGACTGGGCACGGTGGCTCACACCTGTAATCCCAGGAGGCTGAGGCAGGAACTTTGCTTGAAGCCAGGAGTTTGAGACCAGCCTGGGCAAGATGGCGAGACCCCCATCTCTACTTTATTTTTGTAAAATATAAAAAATATAATAAATATATATTTATGGGGCATATGAGATAATTTGGTGCAGGCATATGATGTGTAATAATCACATCAGGGTAAATGGAGTATCCATTATTTCAGGCACTCATCATTTCTTTGTGTTCCAAACATTCCAATTGTACTTCCTCAGTTATTCTAAAATGTACAACAAAGTATTGCCGACTATAGCCACTCTGCTGTGCTATCAGGTACTAGATCTCATTCATTGTATCTCTATCTCCATGAGTTTAATTGTTTTAATTTTTAGCTCTCACAAGTAAGTGAGAACATTTGAAGTTTTTCTTTCTGTGCCTGGCTTATTTCACTAAACATAATATCTTCCAATTCCATCCATATTGCAAACGAGAGGGTCTCATTCTTTTTATGGTAGAATAGTACTCCATCGTGTATATGTACCGTGTTTTCTTTATCCATTCATTTGTTGATGGTCACTTAGGTTGCTTCCAAATCTTGGCTATTGTGAACAGTGCTGCAGTAAACATGGGAGTGCTGATATCTCTTCAGTATATTGATTTCCTTTCTTTTGGGTATACAGTCAGCATTGGAATTGCTGGTCATATGGTAAATCTATTTTTAGTGTTGTTTTTTTTTTTCCCTTTGAGACGGAGTTTCGCTCTTGTTGCCCAGGCTGGAGGGCAATGGGGCGATCTTGGCTCACTGCAACCTCCGCCTCCCAGGTTCAAGTGATTCTCCTGCCTCAGCCTCCCGAGTAGCTGGGATTACAGGCATGCGTCACCATGCCCGGCTAATTTTGTATTTTTAGTAGAGACGGGGTTTCTCCCTGTTGGCCAGGCTGATCTCAAACTCCCTCAGGTGATCACCTCAGGTGATCCGCCCACCTTGGCCTCTCAAAGTGCTGGGATTACAGGCATGAGCCACCACACCCGGCCTGTTTGTTTTTTGAGGAACTTCCATACTGTTCTCCATAGGGGCTGTACTAATTTTACATTCTCACCAACAATGTACAAGGGCTTCCTTTTCTCCACATCCTCGCCAGCATTTGTTATTGCTTGTCTTTGGGATAAAAGCCATTTTAACTGGGGTAAGATACTATCTCATTGTAGTTTTGATTTGCATTTCTCTGATGATCAGTGATGTTGAGCACCTTTCATATACCTGTTTGCCACTTGTCTTTTGAGAAATGTCTTTTCCGATCTTTTGCCCATTTTTAATCAGGTTATTAGTTTTTTTCCTATTGAGTTGTTTACGCTCCTTATGTATTCTAGTTGCTAATCTGATAAGGGTGGTTTGACAGCTATATTTCCATTTGGCCTTTTTATATCCTCTCCCCATTCTGTCTCCTACCTCCCTACCCTGTTCTAATACAGTTCAGTATGTCTTACAGAAAATCATGTATCTTTTGCCTCCCTGAAATGACTTTAACTTTTTGTGTTTTTCTCCTTTTCTCATTTCATAATGCAATTAAATCTACCTCTTAGTTTTCTCAAATTTTAAAAGCACATGAATAAATTATCTTTTACTTAAGGTCAAACACAAATGAGTAGCGTAGGCCAGTCATGGTGGCTCACGCCTACAATCCCAACACTGTGGGAGGCCAAGGCAGGTGGATCACTTGAGCTCATGAGTTTCAGAGCCGCGTGGGGAACATGGCAAAAAC